CTAATCTATTATCATAAATATTGTTCTAGTCTCCTCATCTTGATTGTAACCTCTCATTCTGAAAGGCAGGAATCTGATTTCTACTGTGTGCCAGACATTTACTTAAATTTCCATTTCTAGAATATGTGTGGAGTGGTTTCAGAATTGCTGCTGTCCACTAGACCTTTCTGTTTCATCTTTGCTTTTACTCTTAACAGACACTACTCATTTCCAAAAATTTTAATGTCAGCACATGTTTTTCCAATCCTTTGGAGAGGTGGTTTCATACATTTAGCCAGATTGAAAAATCTACAGTTGATGTAGAATGACAGTTTGGAGGAATTATGATGTATAGAGACTGTAAGAAGCTCAGTGTTGTGGTCATTTAGTTTTTCTTGTTACACTCTGTAATCCATTTGTTCTGGAATTTCTGACCACCTAAATTGTGTATTATATTTTAATATACATTATATGATTGAATTATACAATAGATAATTATTTCAAAAGAAAAATAACCTAAAAATATTAACATTAGTCATTTCAAAGTTTCTAATTTAATAATATTATATGACTATGTCATCAGTTAACTGTCATCACTGTCTATGTAACAGTTCTCATAGAACTGCAAAGTTATACCCATTATCATGCCTCTCATACTTCATCCACATGCAACCACCATTCTTTTTGTCTTTTTAATTTTAACTGTCCTAAATATCTCTTGTAAGTGCAAACATACAGTACTTGTGTTTGTGTAACATACAACAAATTTTACATGTTCTAGAGGACCCTTATTTCACGTATTTAATATAATGTGCTCAAGGGTCATTCATATTGAAGCACATGTTAGAATTTTCTTAATTTTAAAAACTCTATAAACTGGGTGTTGGTGGCTCATGCCGGCAATCCTAGCTACTCAGAAGGTTGAGATATGAGGATCATGGTTCAAAGCCAGCCCATAGGGAAAGTCCATGAGACTTTATCTCTGATTAACCACCAAAAAGCTGGAAGTGCAGCTGTGGCTCACGTGGTAGAAAGCTAGCCTTGGGCAAAAAGATCTAAGGGACAGTGCCTAGGCCGGGAGTCTAAGCCCCACAACCAAGCAAAAACACAAAAAAGACTGAACAGTATTCTACTGTATGTACATACCATATTTTGCATATCCATTCACTCATTTATTTATGGACACACATTGCTTCAACTTTGGGGCATCTGCTTTAGCTTAAATCTTGAATATAAGTTCAAGATTTATATAATGTCTGTCCTTTCAGCCTTTGTTCATCACTTAAACTGAAAATAGTTTGGAAGAGGGTTTTATACTTTCACTTTTAAAACATATAACTACACAGGTATCCATTTGATATTTTTCTCTCAAGTTCTCTGGTCACACAGAGGTTTCTTTTTAAATTTTTTTTTTTACATTCTTATGCAAGGTTCAGTGTCCAAAGGTCATGAATAATTTATCTTCCTTCCCTAACCTTTCTATGCTGAGCAGCAAGTTTTCACAGTCCACTCAAACAACTTTATAAACTTTATAAACTTCACTTTCCCATGCCAGGATTAGTATTTTTTCTTTTAACATTAAAAAAATACCCTTCAGTAATTGTACAAGAGGGTTTTAATTCAGTGTCAGTTTGTGAGTATAACACGTCCTGAATATGTACTAGTCTAAATTGCTATGCTTACCTCTCCTCTCTCTTAGCTTCTTTATTTCTGTTTTCTTCAGACAGTATTGAAAGGCATGGCCTGTATCTTTATCTTTGTATTCTGCAACAATGTTGTGCATTGTCTAGGTAGTTCTCTATAAATTTTTATTGAACGGACAAACAGGTGGTTTGGTCTAATGTAAACTGCAATATTACAGACAAAGTAATATATCCTGAAAAGCTTGCCTTAGTCCATCCATTTGGATATACCAATGTTTGCTATGTCCTCTTTTTTGTTAATATTTGAAGGACGCTTGTTAAAAAAACACCCTGAAATCTGAGATACATTGTATTTATATAGAACACATGGTATTTATACAAGTATTACCAAATAGTTCTATCCACATGAACCTCGATATATGTTATAGGCCTTTCAAGATTAGTTCATATCATCAACATTGCTGCACACAGCTAAAGTATATCCTATACACTTATTTTTTCTCAAAAAATGTTGTATGGTCAGGTTTGAGGAGTTGACTAACCAGAGTACAATGATTATCATTCATGCTATTAGTAAAAGGAGCTAATATGTTTATCAAACCATTCACTTAAATACCATTAATGTTAACATAAAACTTAAATTTTACATGTTCTAGAGGACCCTTATTTCACATACTTAAGTTTGAAGATAAACATAGTTCAATTTGTGGTCCACTTTTGGAATGTGAGAGTCACTTGGTACTTGCTACCTTCAAGCTCTGTGCATCAGCATCATGGAACATTACCCTGATTTTGATGGCAATATAAACGATTAAAATCTGTAGGGAAAGGAGGAGTTGTTAGTCTCCCCTATCTCCCCTCACTTCTTTGCCTACCCAAATCCTCTCACTCTTTCTCTTCCTTCTTAAATATCTGCCATTGTTTTGAGTTATTGAGAAGGCTGCAAGCAAGAGAGAGAAGGCAGGAGAGATTTTCTCTCTGTTTAAATCTCACATGTTTGATATTGTCTTTCCCATGCTTAATGGTCTGTGTAGAAATGAGGTCGCCTGGGACTTGTTGACCTTCTCACTGAGCACTCTCAAGTTTAGATTTTATCCTTTGCTGGGGAGGGTTTCTAAATGAGCACAACTGAGGACAAGCAGAACATTACAATTTTTGAGTTTTTTTTTTCTAAGAGCTGATACTCTACTGTTGCTTGTTTCTGTTGCAATGTAGTTTCCCATAGTTTCAGCACTTGAAATAATTGAACTTTCCTACATCTTCTACTGTTCAGATGCTTCCATTTATAACTTTCAGGTGTGGAAATGTCAGAGAAGTGACTGCTAGAAGATAACTGGTTTAGCTAGTAATTGTAGCGGGTCACTTTGGGTTTCTCATTTATGGCGAATCCTTAACCCATCGGAATAGACACCACCATTTAGGAAATGAAGGAGAACAGGAAAGTAAAATAGGAGTGATGTACAAAGGTTTCTTGAAATTTTGTGCCAAAACAGTGAAGAAAAGACTACTTGATGTACCCCAAAGAATTTTTTAACATGCTATATGTAAATAAAATTTCATTTTTACAAAGAGTTTCCACTGTGTCAAAGGCATAAACAACTTGCATGCTGCAGGTAGCCAACATGAAAGCCTGTTTAGTGTTCATTGTACCCATACATACACACACACACACCGCACACACACACACTACCTCCTGGCTTCTAAGAATGCTATAAAGTTGGAGTGATCTTACAGTTGAGAAATACTTGGGAATAATTGGTTGGAAGTTTTCCTTAACTGATTGTGTTTTCAGAATGGAAACCAAAAATTATGCTCAAGAGGTGCCAAAATATCACTGTATTCCATTTGTACCCATAAGATTGATTGCTTGAGTATGTTCTCCTGAATTTGTTTCTAATTTGACTAATAGTTTGTGAAATAATGTTAGTAGCAGAAGCTGTAGCCTTAGTTTTCTATATTGGCAGTAACACTTTGCCTAATATTCTTTTCTTTAATACTATACTGAATAAAAGGTGACTGCTAAGCTGCAAGCAATTCAGATGTATTTCTGTACTGATATATTCTTTGCAATTTTTTATGGCTTGGTCAAAACCAATGGCTGATTTTTCTGTACCGTGTATGACAGACATCTCATGATATTCTTGCCGTACCACTGCTGTTGTTCATTTTAGTTTTCCAATCCTTTCACACATTACATTACACTCACCTGTCATTTTGTAGCTCAGACAATAAATAGGGCAGATAGCACTTCAAAGATGATCAGAATTCCAGTAGGTTTTTTAAAGTTACAAAGCAAGTACATGGTCAGATCAGGATCAGAACCTCTGCCTCCCCATTAAGCCCAAGCAATTCCAGTTTAACATTTGTCAAAACATAAATGTTGTTGAGGTATTATTGCAATATGATTTCAACAGAAATTATGCACTTTGTAATTTGTACCCTGGTGGTATCAGAATTTTACATCTTTCTTGGTGAAGAGAATCTTATTGCTACTCTTGGCTTCCATTTCTTTAATAGTTAATCTCATTTTCCAACAAGAATTTTAAGACCTGACCTAAGTATTATAATTAACACACAAACGTTGTTTTCTCTTTCCAAAGTGGATACTCTCAAATGTAATTTAGTGTTACTTTCAAAACTGTAAAATTTTATAACTTGCAGTTAATATGACTGCAGACAGTTTGAAGACAAAGGACTTAGGGAACTCTCTCTCTCTCTCTCTGATTAAAGAAGAACACTGGTTACTTGGTACAAAGAATTTTGATTTTTCTTGTCATCATTTTTTCCCAGTACCAATGATGCTAAGAGCACTAAGAAAAAATTTAAGTACAGTAATTTTTATACTGATTTCTGGGTTACTAAAGACATATCTTTTCCCCTTTTTTTGCTTTCTGTCTTCCCTATATATGTGAATCTTTTGAGGTGTTTGACAGGTATCTGGTCAACCAGGATGTCCTCATTTTTTTTTTTCAGGGCCTAGGAAAATTGAAAAAAAAAATCACTTTCTCTGCTAAATGCTTTTGAAGTTTTACTCTACTGGTTATCACATGGGGAATCATTATTTTGATTTGAAAAATTTCCAATATGATAATACAAATTATATTTCCCTAACTTACTGAAATGCTTTACTCCTTTCTTATATAGGATTATAAAAGGAAAACAAGCAATATTCCAAAAAATATAGTGTTTGTTTTTACTTAAAGCATAAAGAAACACTTCTCCTAACAAAATTTAGAGAGTCTTGGTACTTACTAGTATTCTCAAGAAACCCCCAAATCAACTCTCTGTATCTCTGTAAAATAAAATGTGTCACACATTGGGCCCTCTAGGAGCCTTGAGACCTGAATGTGTTATGTGACTCTTCATTTGTCATTGTAGGTGGCCATGTTTGTCCTACAACTAGGAAGTGCCACATTTCTGGTTACAGAGCCTGTGATTAGCGCCATGACGACGGGGGCTGCCACCCACGTTGTAACTTCACAAGTCAAGTATCTCTTGGGAATAAAAATGCCATATATATCTGGGCCACTTGGATTCTTTTACGTGAGTATTCCAAATGTTTTGGTTTATTACTTTGAGGTTGTATATTTTACAATGTGCAATATAGTTAACTATAATACTATGACTTTTCTGTTTTACAGCAACTGGGTTTAAAGACAATCCAGGCTTTTTTAAATATATGTTTTTTTAAATTGTAAAAATACTATACCGAGGGGTTACAGTTACATGAGCAAGGTCATGAGTCCATTTCCTATCGAGCATTGTTACCTCCTCCTTTGTTTTATCCCCCACCATCCCTTCCGTCCCCACCTCCCCAACTCCTCCCTCTCCCCAGCAAAGTTGTAAAGTTCGCTTTCAACATAGTGTCTTGTACATCTCATTGTTACAATGGGTCAACTTGTATCCCTTTTTAAGCATCTTGTTATTTCCCTTCCTCAAATTAGAAAAATGTATATACAAGATGTAGGGCACCGGAATCAAATACAGTGAAAACAGGGGCTATACTGTGGGGGAACAACATACAAAAGAAACAAAAAAATCACATAGTACATTATAAATATGTTAAAAAATAGCAAGCAAGGAAAAAAAACACTTGTGTCCCTATCTTGGTGTTCATTTTGCTTAACATCATCTTATATGGTCATATGTACATAGCTTTATAGCTTTTCTGCTTTTCCTAGACATTTACTAGTTATTGCAAATAAAGGAAATGGTGGAACCTATGTTTCTTTGTGCCTGTCTTACTTCACTTAATATAATTTTTTCCAAGTCTTTCCATTTCCTAACAAATGGGGCAATGTCATTCTTTCTGATGGAGGATATATAAAATTCCATTATATATAATATATAATAAAATATAAAATAAAATTCCATTATATATATATATATCACATTTTCTTGATCCATTCATCTACTAAAGGCATCTGGGTTGGTTCCATATCTTAGCTATGGTAAATAATGCTGCAATAAACATAGTTGTGCTGGTAACTTTAGTATAGCCTTGTTTGTGATCGTTTGGGTAAATGCCCAAAAGTGGGATTTCTGGGTCATAGGGGAGCTCTATGTGGAGTCTTTTGAGGAACCTCCATACTTCTTTCCAAAGTGGTTGAACAAGTTTACACTCCCAACAATGCAGTAGGTTCCCTTCTGTCCACATCCCCTCCAGCATCTGTTGTTACTAGAGTTCTTGATTTTTGCCATTCTAACTGGGGTGAGGTGGTATCACAATGTTGTTTTGATTGGCATTTCTTTTATGGCTAGAGAGGTTGAGCATTTCTGCATGTGTCTATTGGCCATCCTTCTTTCCTCTTCAGAGAAGTTTCTCTTTAAGTCTTTAGCCCACTTATTTATTGGGCAGTTGTTTGTTTGAGGATTTGGTGTTGGGGGATTTAACTTTTTGAGTTCCAGGTATATTTTAGATATGAGACCCTGGTCTGTGGTATGGCTAGTGAAGATCTTCTCCCAATCTCTGGGCTTTCTATTGATCTTGCTAGCTATGTCCTTTGCCATGCCGAAGCTCTGCAGTTTCATGCAATCCCATTTGTGCAACCTGTCTTTGATTTGTTGTGTTTCTGGGTCTCTATTAAGAAAATTTTGGCCTGTGCCAAGGAGACCTAGAGTTTTTCCTATTCCTTCTTGTAATGTTTTCAGGGTATCTGCTTTGACTTCGAGGCGTTTGATCCATTTGGAGTTGATTCTGGTGCAGGATGATATATAAGGATCTAGCTTTAGTTTTCTACAGGTGATTAACCAATTTTGCCAGCACCATTTACTGAAGGAGCTGTCTTTCTTCCATTCTATTTTTTTTAGCTCCCTTATAGAAGATTAGGTAGCTATAGTTATGTGGATTCATTTCTGGGCTTCAGTTCTATTCCATTGGTCCTCAGGTCTTTTCTTGTCCCAGTACCAAGCTGTTTGATTAATATGGCTTTGTAGTTGAGTTTGAAATTTGGTATTGATATTCCTCCAGCACTGTTCTTTCTGCTAAGGATTGTTTTCAGGCTATGTTTAAGTGTGTCCTCAGATGTGAAAGTAATTGAATGAGTAGTATCTACTAATTTTTGAAATAGCATTTCTTATCATGCATACTTTGATATGCAACATAAAATTTGGGACCAGAAAAATAGCTTAACCTTTTTTTTAATGAGCTAAATATGATGCTAACTTCTAAAAGCTGCTATCTACAAGATTGTGCCTCAGTTGAACAATAGTATACTCTAACACTGTCATTAGGGCTCAAAGCAGAGGCTTGGTTAACTTTGGTGGCTGGATCCCCCAAGAACATATAATTGGCTACTAAAAGCCACCTAAAACTGACAGAGGAACATCTCACCATTTCCACATATTGTTGTAGCAACACTATTGTTCTTGTTATTTTTGAAATTTGAAGGGTCCCACATATCCATCCCAGGGAACCACACAGAGGTAGGCAGGCACAGGAAAAAGATTATTATAAGGTTTATAGAGGAGCCATATTTCCCTCAAGAGGGAGCACATGGCCTCAGTCACCATCCAGGTAGCAGGATGGTTTTGAGGGTGTTACATAGGTGGATGGGAGCCCAGATAGATCTGGGCAGAAAGGGAGGGGCCAGCTGTATGGTGGGAACTTCAGGGATGGGAGGGGCTCAGGTCTGGGTGGAGCTGAGGACCAAGGGTGAGCATGATACTAAAACGTTAGCCTAAAAAAGACTATGATAGTTCATCTTATTACTGTGTCAATGCACTTGATGATGGTAAAACTTCATTTTACTTAGCTTTATGCATTTCTCCACACTAAAAAACACACAAACATTAATGTTTTGTAATAAGAATATTGCTGTCCTTAATCGTATTAAAGCTGATTGACTGCTAGTAGCTCAAACACTTGAACATCCCATATCTTGTGTATCTAATTCCTGTTATTGATGTGTGGTTGCCAGTGCTTCCCTATTATACAGGACTCGGTAAGCATTCATTTGCATACAATGTATATCACTGATTATTTTGTTAGGGTCAATTCCTAGATATAGAATTACCAATCAAATAGTAAAACACTCGTGTGGATCTGAACAGTTGTACACATAATTTTTCACTCTGCTCTTTTGCTTGTCAACTCTGGTTTACACTCTTTACAAAAATTGCTAGCTTGATAAATGGGAAAAATCAGCTGTATTAAATATGCCTTTCTCTGAGTGTTAAAATAGTTAATAAAGATAGTAATTGGCCACATGCTGTTGGCAGCTGGTTTTTGAATTTTGTGGCTTAGGTAACAGCCAACTTAATAAGAAACCCTAAAACCAAAACAAGAAAATTGGAACTGGGCTTGGAAGAAACATAGTTCTTAGATCTAGCTCAAACAAAAGCAGACAAAAGTAGTGGAGGGCTGTCAAATGATTGGCGGAGAGTTCAGACTTTCATGATGCCTCTTCTCTAGGGCAGAACATCAGTGAGGATTTGATTGTGATCTCCTGCCTGAGAACCCTGTGTTCATTTGTGCAAAGTAGCATAGAAAATGCCTGCAGGTTATAGCTTGGCCTTCTTTACAAATATTTGCATACACAGATAGTCATTTTTCTTTTCTATGCTATTGTAAAGAAACAAGGTAGCCTTAATTAACAGTGGTCTTTAAGATTGTTTCTCTGTTTATCCTGGGCTTAAATACTACATCCATGTGTTTACTCGTGTGAATCCCTCCCTCCTCTCTTTGTGATGTCAAAAGTTTGGATGATCTGAGAGTAAGATTAAGAAATAATATTGGCTGGAGTTGTGGCTCAAGTGGTAGAGCACCTGCCTAGCAAGCCAAGACCTTGAGTTTCAACCCCAATACTACCCAAGATATTTCTTCTCCTTTGTACAATTAATTCATGCTAATATGTTTTAATGGAATAAATCATATGTCAGATTTGACTGGAATATTTGAAAAAGGAGCTTGGAATAGTTCGGCTTGAGAGAGTATTATAAGAAGCTGTAAAGCTGGTCTTGCCTGAGATCACTTAAGTGGTACCAGAAGGAGCATGAAAGTATGGGGCAGACGACATCAAAAGGTCTTGCACCAGGTCAATGACCTGAAGAAAAAAGAATGAACATATTTTTTAGAATTTCCACTTTTGACTCCACCTCCTACTTCTGACTTCTCAGTACTTTTTTTCACTTTCTGAAAGCTATTCAGGTTGATGTGAGATAAACAATGTATTATGGTATTCCTTGGAACATTAGTATCAAGATTGTTTAAAACTCATTCACAATGAGGCTTGGTCACACATCTTCATATTCTGAGATGGGACATTTCTTTATTAAACAAGTTAGGTTTGAGCCAAGCCAAAATATCCATCAATTAATTCTAGAAGTAGTGATCTTTACTGTTAGCTTTGGGAGAAGATGGCCTCTATGTTTATTCCGATTGAGGTTGGGGCTTGAGGTTAGGACCTCTGCCTTGTGGCACTGTGACTCTTAACCGCATCTTCTTCCAGAGGATATCTGGTTAATAACTGAGTTTCAGCCAGGTGCCAGTGGCTCATACCTGTAATCCCAGCTGCTCGGGAGACTAAGATCTGAGAATCGAGTTTCAAAGGCCTTGAGATGCTCATCTGCAATTAAGCACCCCAAAAAAGCCAGAAATAGAGACGTGGCTCAAGTGATAGAGCACTAGCCTTGAGCAAATAAGCTCAGAGATAGCAAGCAGGCCCAGAGTTCAAACCTCAAGACGGGCACACACACATGAATTCAAATATAGTATTATGTTCTCCATCCATTTGGTTGTTCACGGCTGACATGTACTGCCTCAGTGGGACATTTTGAAGGAGAAATTTGAATCAGATATAAGAAGTGGCCTCGTTTCTATTCTCAAGTATCTTAGATAAAGCACAAGTCTCTAGCATCCTTGAAGGACAGATCTGACGGGTTATCATCCCCCTTTTTATAGTTAATGTGAAGGGCTATATGTTAATACCTTGATCCTCACTCCTTGCTGGAATTTTGTTGTTGTTGGTGGTGGTCATGGGGCTTGTGCTCTGGGCCTGGGCGTTCATCAGCTCAAGGCAAGCACTCTACTACCTGAGTCACAG